GTGTGTGTGTGTGTGTGTGTGTGTGTGTGAGAGAGAGAGAGAAAGAGAGAGAGAGAGAAGTTTAAACACACGCAGCTCCTCGACTTTTTTTGGTCACTGAACATTTCTTTGAGATTGCACCAACACTGATTAATTATTTAAATATTTTTTGCAAAATTTGGATTGAAATATGTTTTATAATGTATAATAAATGCGAACTTTAAATAACTTTATAAGTTTAAATAAGTGTACGCGGCAATTGGCACGCAATGTGAATAATATTAGTAATATTAGTATTAAGCAATAATTATTGAATTATATTCTATAACTAATTAGTCGAGTACGATTAGTCGAGGTTGTTGGCGCAATCACTTTTTATCCTTTATATCTTTGCCTTTCCTTCTGGTCGGCACGCGTTGCTCGAAGCACGCTTTGGTTATTCTACGTTGATCACGTACTTCCCTGTTTATTTGAAATTGTTAATAATGGACAGATTTGACCAAGATTTTGATGAATAAGAATTTTTCTATTACATACGGGAGAATAATTTTGAATAAAAATTTTAATTAATCTAATTGTGTTTATTTAAATACACGGAAAATTTAAGTTTAACTTTAATCCGAAATCCATCTACTTTGATCATTATATTTAACGAATGATTAAGCAGTTCATATGGAATTTTGGGATAATTAAAGCTATTTCCCTATTGGATTGAAATGATTAAATCTGATACACTTCTTCAAGTTTTCCTGTTCTTTTTCTTATTGCGCACTCATTAATTACGAAACTGATATCTATCTTATGCATTGCACACATCCTTAAATTCATATATAATGCCTCTTATTAGAAATTTTTAACATAGGTTGTATAAATCAGGTTGTATAAATTTTTTTCATATATTTAATAAGCATTAATATTATTAAATTTTGTAGAGGCACTTTATATGAAATTCATATATTGTTGCTCACAATTATAATTGGAAAACCCTAAATATCACGAACCAAAACTGCTATTTATCACGTCATTTTCCAATTATGCAACCTATAATTACATGTTTCCATTTTAATAAGCAGATTACATTTCATATTCCATTTCACAATACTTTTGCTTTTGCCTATTTACACTTCCTCATGCTATCTGCTATTATCACTTGTTACATTAATGATAGATCCTTTTTAATAAGTTCAAAATCGATTTTCTAACAGTTGCAAAGAAATCAAACTTTTGTTAAAAATTAATTTACTGTAAATTCCTACAAAACGCATCATCGGAACGGCGATACTGTCGAAACATTCTATATATACATATCCCTGAAACTTCTAGAGCTATTATGTAGCAGCTTATTCGGCACTTCGCGCGAACGTACGAATGTGTAAAATTAGTGTGGCTCAGATCACATCAACAACACCACAATTTTAACGCTCGTAAAGATCTTGACGATGCCTATTGTTTCTTCTGCGCATTATACATCTTGCCATTTGCTCAAACGTGACTCTCGAGTATCCTGCATATCTCTCTCTACGAAAATATCCACTTTATTCGATAAATAAAATAGTATTAAAAAGAAATCTTTTTTTCTAGAGGCTCAAAAGAAAAACAAAGTTTCAATCAATCTATTTCCTAGTTAAAAATTTTGATATCAGACGTAAGTTAGTTAGAGTTTTTTTTTATATCGAAATACTAAGTCAATTTAGCTTTCTTTATCTTTTGATGACTGAGTGAAATCTTATTCTCGACATTTCCCCTCACTTGAGAAGAATTTCCGTTATACGGCCTAGGAGGCCTCTCGAGCGCGATTGCCTTCCGTAAATCAATAAAGTGTCCTCAGACACTTCGGAACCGCCCTGGAGCGAAGGAAAAAAAATCATGCAGAGATTTGAAGCCACCATACTACGCTGCATTCTTGCGTATCGATCGATGCACGCCCGCGAAATGCGCGCGGCCGCGCGCGAGGTGTCCAGGCAAGCCGCGGCTATTCCACTTCCGATGACCTCCGCAACGTAGTTTGATGAACTCGCACTATAAATGGCCGATATTGTTTGCAATTTGCAAAGACTATATGACACTTGCCCTTTGCACGTCGTCGACAGTAGAACCGTAACGTTGAGTATGAACGATTGATAAACTATAGACTTTATCTCGAAATTAACAGACTTATCTCGCGAATTAATGCGGAAATTAAATTTTCCTAATAAAGAAAAAAACGGAATAATGAACAATAATGAAATAAAAAATACACCGAAAAAAAAAATATATATATTATAATCTCATATTTATTGTATATATTTACGTTATTGTCACGATTCTTAGAGAAAAATGTCAAAGCACGTAACAATCGACCTGTGGTATTTTATGTTTACTTTATTGGAAGTAATTTAATGACGCAAATAATGGCGTGATCGACTGTGCGCAGAAGTGAATGCTGTGTTTGCCCATTAAGTGATCGCAGAATAACGTTAACCCGCATGGCTCACGCATGATATACTATTCATCGACATGAAAGTTTTTGGAACAGCGAGTATGATCATTTAAGGGGAAATCTCCCGAGCAAAGACGAGTCGACCATGATTCTCTAAGCAAAACCTGATACGCGGGTATATAAAGTCCAACTTCGTTTTTTGTTTTATTTTCGCTTAAGCTACATTCCAAGCGAAATGGAAAATGACTACATCACATGTCGAAATGATTGAAAAGATTGAAATTTTTCTACATTAAAACTCTGTATGTTATTTAATCGACGACGAGAAAAAGATTACCACTCGTGACCTGCGCGTGAACCCCGATCTATCGAATTGATCGGTTCACGCACTTTTTAGCTTAATTATCTAGAGACCCAGTGAACACAGTGTCCCAAATCGGGACGTATGACGTCTTTGAGGCATCATACATCCCGATTTGGAACATGCGTGTTGTCTGGAAGAGATCCTTGACTATCCAGACTTTTGATTTCATTCAAATTCATTTGCATTTCATCTAATCTCTTTCTCGGTTTTGACTCTTCCTTGCTGTGCGCTTTTGAGACGAGGGATTTTTCCGAGTTTCCTAATTTTGCAAAATTTTGTTTAACGAAAAGGACCAATGCATGCGTCCCATGTTTGACGATTGCCTAGCATGCGATTGCCAAAACTATTGTTATTATACAATAGTCACAATTATTATTTTAAATGTTATTTTCTTGCTCGACCCCCATTTCTCCTCGAGATTATGCCATTGCCACTAATACAATCACTATTCGTCATGTATCATGAAGGTCCATAGTACGATAACATCTTGCGGGAACAATCTCTTTTTTTAACTAATATGTAATATTCATTTTTAATCACTTTGTCCTACATAAATGCAGACGAGTTGTTTCGTACATCTCTACGAACTTGCTGTATCAATAAATAAATATCAACGAAAAGTTCAAACATGTTTAACTGACATATTTAACTGAACCATGAATTTGTCTTTTGATCTAATCGACTTTAGCAGAAATTAAACGCAAATTATTCTTTTAACATTTTTGTGCAAATTTTAGTTTGTTATTGTCAAGGTTAAACTAATTGTCAAATTGACAAATTAAAAGTATTTTTAGTAGTGCTAAAATAAGAAAGTAGAAAGTATACAGAGAAAGCGTGGAAGAAAGGATACAACAAACTTTTCGTTCATATTTAAATAGCACATCACTGATGATTTGATTATATTTGACTCAATTGATTTGTTCGGTAGACGAGAGCTTAGATTGAATTTATGTCTCGTTCATAATCTAATTAGCGTCTTCTCCGTTAAATGTCGGTTCAGAAGCAGGAGGAAGCTCGGTAAAATTAAACGTCAAAATTAAAAGATAAAGATCAGCTATATTTTTAAAGAAATTCTAACTGTTTTGAAGGAATAAATTGACATTACAATAATTTTTGCAGTTGCTTAACTAATATTATAGTTGTAGAATTGTGTACATAGTACTGATGACAGAGTATAATCGATTAATGCAGTTTTTGCAATATTAAACATTTATGTTCTCGAAGTATTGAGTTATTTTTATTCAGCGCTAAGCGCTTATAAAATGACGCCGTAATCTTTCGTGTCTCTTCGGCGCACAACGAGTTATTATTCGGTCACATTTCACGAACGCCAGCAAAAGAGAAGGCGGACACTCGACTGTTTTATTGTTCTTTGAAAATTCAAAGCATCGATTCGGTCAAGTGCCCACCGTCTCTACTCATGTGCATCATTGGTGCAATATCGAATTGTTCTGGCCTTACCGTAACGAGGTGCAATCAAATGCAACCGAATATAAATTGGCCGATCAGAGTCAATGTAAATTCTAATGGAATAAAATAGTACCGCAATTGGTGTATTATTTTCAGTGGGCCAATAAAACACAATTTTCCTTTTTCCAAGGAACTTGTGGTTTCACGAAGAAGTCATTTTGGCGAATCCTTAAGTTAGTTTTCTAGTCTAGCCTAGGCTGCCCGCTTATACTAGACGCATCATGCTATACTTATATACGAAAAACATATGGTATGAATCGTACGACGTTGGCAGAATACCAAATCGAAGGTGTAAGTCGTCAAGATATATTACCGAGAGAGACGATCTCTTTCAATATATGGGCTTATCAATGACGGGAAATGTATACAAGTGAATCATCCGAATATATAATAGATACAATTGGTATGCAGTATTTCGTGGTATACGTCCCCTTCATTTAACATTCCGCCAACGCACGCAGATTGTCATGTAACTATAGTACCGCATAATTAGCGCCACACTAGACACGGCAGACTCACACAAAGATAGAAACACCACACCTAGCACCAAGCCGAATTTTGCGATCATGATCCCAGTATCGTCGCGTTTATAACGCACCGCCTTACACACCTTAATATTTAATGCGGTATTCCTCCCCGTTCTGTTGCAGGCCCGTGGGAGTTTGGGGGAAAATTGTGGGCTCGTTGTGCGCGATTGCCGGTGTCCTGACGATTGCTCTGCCCGTTCCCGTAATCGTCTCCAATTTCAACTACTTCTATCATCGTGAGACTGACCAGGAGGAGATGCAATCGCAGAACTTCAATCACGTGACTAGTTGCCCGTATCTTCCTGGCACCTTAGGTACGCCGTAGTATCCTTTCAGGATACTCCAATGTGTTGCACAAATTTCACTAATCAAGAGTCATTTAAAAGGCCGGTTTTTGATAATGTAAAAAATTAGATCGATGACGAGAAACTAAGAATTTCATCAAGTAATTTTTATAATATCGTAGCTTTAAAGTATCGTACCAACGTGTTAGGTATATCAGAAAGATGACTATGTTGAATCATGAATAATGAATGAAATATTATACTTGCCCAGACATGCGTGCTGTTGGGTGTTTACACACCAAACATTGTCGTAGTTAGTTTTAGAACTTACTAGATGTATTGTATATTTTCACTTTAAGGATTGTTGAAAATAGATCGATATTAAGAGATAAAAAATGAATAAAAATTTTCATTATAGAATATGTGCATGTACCTTTCAGGTTTGAAGAAGATCTCGATGTCGGAATCCTCGTCGGATATAATGGAGTTAGAGGAAGGCACCCTATTTACTCATCCGGAGATTACGAAGAAGTCAAATTGCAACCCTCGCCACAATAACAATATCAATCCAGCCTGCATGAGCATCGAGACTGATGTCTGACTACTAGGTGCGCATTTGAAAATTCAATAATATCCACGTGACAATCGACGTGATATCTGTATCACGATCGACATTCTTATTTCCCGTTTTGGATGGATTATAGTGAAGGAGACGGTGGCAGCGTGGTGGCCGTTACTGAGCCAGTTGTCAAAGGGCAACTGCATCTCCCTGCGGTGCCTGACGTAGGCCTCCTTCACCCGTCATCATAGTCGTAAGCTGCTGGCATCACTCGCCAGCCTGTCCAGGTCCGTCATTGCGAGGGGCGTCTCGGGTCAGAAACACGCGAAGGATCACAGAGGATCGTGATTCCTCCGGGGAGCCTGCTTTTTCCCATCTGAGATGTATACGAGAAACGGAAGAGAGGTAGGGTGGGTCCAAGGGCGTGCGGAGATGGGGATGAATCTATAGCCCGTTCTCGAGACATCGTCGCCTACCTTCCCGCCACCTTCTCAACGAGCTTGCGCCCCGCGTAAGGACCCACGTGCGAACGAAGGGGACGGGATATTCCTCGTTCGCGTGCGAGCGCGCACGCGTGCGGCCCCAACCCCCGACACCACCGACTCCAGTGTTCAAAACAAAAAATAATAAAGATATAACAAATGATAACCGAAGAAACATCACGGCGTTCTCGTATAAAGCGCTGTCGAGTGTCCCCCCGTCCCTTACGAGCTCCTCCGACTTTCAGAATGCCAGACGGGTGAAGTAGAGAAGGGGGAGCTGGTAGGTAGCGGAAGCAACACAAATGGGGATTGTACCAGATAACACTATATTAATTATTATCGATATAAATTAATTGAGTACCGTACACGTAGGGCGAGGGTAAGTTAACAAAGTATGTTTTATGATAAAATCGCGAATGCGAGGACATTTAGAAAATGCTGCTTGCGGAAAGAGGTGAAAAAGGGAAACCGACAAGAACGCTTTATAAGAGATGTATCAAGAATGAAGGACTGAATGATGATGGTTACAGAGATAAAAAGAAAGAGAGGGGGGAGGGCGAGAGGGAAGGAAAAAGAGAGAAAGAGATGGAGTGTGTGTACGGCGTAGACTGTTTCGTTTCTCTTTTTTTTTCTTTTTTTAAACAAAGGACACCGAAGTCGATTTTCGAATCTATTTATACGATATGTTATTCGACAATGGAATTAATTTTTTTCGTCTTGTTACATTCGCACACATGCACATGTAACACATTTAAATGCTGATAAAGCGATAACGTCGACGTTAATTGATTGAAGTTCAATCATTTCTTAAAGACGAAAGGGTGATCAATTTCAGATTATTGATTATATCGATAACCCCATAATCCGAAATATTTGCAGAAATGATGACACAAACGATTTTTATGATATCCACGTGTGATTACAAAAATTACTCTAGCAATTTTTAATTGCACCCCCGCTGCTTAAAATTTACTATCATAAACTTATGTAGATTGCATTTTTCAAGATTATCGACATTCGAATTACGGTACAATTTTACGTTATGTTTATGTTTGAAGCTCTTATCGTATAAAAGTTTATCTAGGTATTCGCTTATTCGAAGTTATCTTCACGCTTATGTACATATATCCAAAGCGAAGAGAAACTATAACGTACCAGTATTAAGTAACGGGGGTGTATATATTGAATAGGGTCTGAATAGCGAATTCCGAGATGTTATACAATAAATCGGATACGAATATCAAGACGATGCGAGCAATTGTAATGATAAGAAACGTCCAAAAGAAAAAAAAATTAAAAAAAACCGAAGATGTCTGCCGATGGCGCGCGAATTTTATGCCCAAATCATAATTTCAATCTCTCAAAGTGTACAATTTGATATTTCTGTCTTCGATATGTGCGACAACGATTTCTCGAAAAAATCGCGGGTGATTGCTTGCAGAAGCAAGATAGTGATGATGACAATTAGCATGCACAAGTTTGAAACATGTATGTTAATAATAATTCGTATATCACGTTCTTCGTCTTTATTAAAGCTCAAAGATGAAAGAATCACTGTGTGATTCCTTACGAAAATAATTTCTGATTAAGCTATCAAGGGTATCTTTGATAATGAAGAATAGAAACTTGTAAAACGTTGAGAGAAAGCTTATACAGCTCTTATAGTGTTTTCCTCTTCCTCTCTTATAAGTAAATTTTTTACGGGGTTAGTATTCTTTGTAAAAGTGATTTCTAACTTGTTCGGAAAAAAAATAAAGAAAAAGAAACGATGTTGCGTTGTATGTTATGCCGATGACAGAAAGAGAAGAGGCCGTTCCCAACTAGCAAAAGCCTTCAAAAGACGTCCCAAAAACGTTTAAAAAACGTCTAAAGGACTTCAGATGTTCTTATTTATAGATGTCTTTCAAATGTCCCCAAGACGTTTTTTAGAAACTTTTGCTGGGTTGTTTCGAGCTATAAGTTAAACAGTAATTCATGTCAAAAAAAAGGAAGAGGAAGACATGCGATACTGAGATAAACGATTGTCTGGAGAACGAATTGGCATGCCAATCGATCCTCGCACCCAATCTCACACCGCGTTTTCAAATCTGTTCATCTTTCCCCCCGTACGACGAAAGTACGTCGCAGAATTGCCAAGACTGCCATATTTCACACATCTCTCTCGATTTATAATCGCGCCAAGGAGTCACCCCAAAGTACACTCTACCGGTGTCAAATCGACCCGATCCGATCGATCTTCTGATATGCTGATTCGATCTAAACTCCAAAGTCGACTCGTGGGACGTATCTTCGCTCGCATAGAGTTCAAGAAAAACACAAAGGAGGAATCCGCAAAAGAGAAAATGCAAAGTCCATTGTTCCATTTCTCAAGGTTATCAATTTTCGATCGCTGTTTGATTCGACCAAAAAAGAAAGAAACGAAGCCGCTCACGTAAACTTTTTCAGTATCCCATTACTGTAATGTTAGTTATATTTTCCATTGATTGTCATTAAGTTCCGTTAATAGTGGAAGCTAATTGAAATTCGCAGAGTGGGGGATTTTATTTAAAATCTTCGTATTCAATTTGATACTGAAGGAGTTAACTATTTTCGTTTAGAATAGAAAAAAGATGCAAGGCATGTTTAAGGCTGGTACATAATGAAAAGTTCAAATAAAATATAGGAGCAAGAATTAAAAAATTAGCCAATACTAACTTAAAAAATAAAGAAGTAGTTTTCTTTATTCGTAGTGGTAACACACGAAAAAGAAATAGTTGCTGTCGAACGGCAAAATCAACGGAATCATCTCAATATCATAATTGCCAGTCTTTCATAATGCGAGAATTAGCGGAATGCTTAGAAAAGGCATTTAATTAGAGAATAAACATGATTGAGAGGTCAAATATTATTAATGTTCCCTCCGTTTTTTAGGGCGGAAGTAGTCTTGCACTATAATTGGTGAGAAAAGGGTATAAGAATCGTATCATGGATACATATTGATTCTCTATTCGTTATTTAATGCATTGTGGATTAAATGTTTGTCGACACCAATTTACATTGGTTGTTCTTACATTTCATTTTGTATCAGCCGTGTTTTAGGCAAGCAAACAATTACGTTGGAAAACGACGAAGCAAATAACCAAAGAGAGAAAAGAAAGAGGAAACAATTCGACTTTATTAGGTAATTTTAGAAGTGGATTTAACAGATGACTGATCTCGTCTTTTAATAGACACAAATGTTGATAATGAAATTTTAGTCCGCAGTACGATAGAGATTGCAAACGGGATAGAGAGATAGAGGATGACATGCGTGCGTGTCAGGGAGTGAGAGTGAGAATGAAAGTGAGAGTGAGAGTGAGAATGAGAGTGAAAGTAAGAGTGAAAGAGAGAGAAAGAAAGAAAGAAAGAGAGAGAGAGAGAGAGAGAGAGAGAGAGAGAGAGAGAGAGGTAAAATAATGTATTACTGATACAATAATTACACGAAGATTTACGTTACACGCTTTCAATACAATACTTAAACCTTTCGCCTCGCTGATTTAGTCCGAGAAACGACGTATAGAAGTAATTAAAAAAAAAACAAAATATAAAAAAATTACACATCAAACTACCAGCCTAGTTAAAATCGACAGAATCGAGAGACGGAGAGAAAGAGAGTAAAGGAAGAAAATGCATGAGCGCTAGAGAGAGAGCAAAAACGTTTCATAAACGATAAATTTATTACTACTACTATTATTCTTACTACTATCACTACTGCAACCACTACTATTATTATTACTACTACTATTACTTATCACTACTATTTACTATTATTAACTACTAATTACTATTACTATTACAACTACTGCTGCTATTACTATCAAACAAAAAAAAAACAAGCTACGATGAAGTATTTAGATAACGAGAAACTACTTCGTTAGGCAGCCAGTAGCCATTAGAGTACACGAAAATAGCCATTAGGTGGCGAACTACATCATCGTTGTTGCTGCGTCGGAATTATCGATAAATATTCGTATCAAAATTTCAAGTAGGCTCGATCAAGCCAAAGGCGGTTGTACATAGTCGGTCGAACAAAACGCGAAAAATTTGTCATATAGAAAAAAATACTGTAAAATGCCAGATGCGTTGTTATTCCGTTCGATTTCCATCGGCAGACTTTCGCGCCTAAAAATAAACGCGAAGGGTGGAGCTTTAATGACGAGCTTTTAAAGATGAATAGATTTCTCGTCTAATTTCGAAAACTGTTCTCTATTAAAGTTACTCACAAATCAATATTTCAATAATAATTGCATAATCTTTAACATTTATTTGATTCATCCTTCAAATCAATTAAACTAAAATTGAATTAAAATATAAGACAAAAGTTGTATTACTTTAAAAATTTATAATGCCAAAATTATATATCCGTCGAGATATTGAAATTGGATTTAGTTAGTAACTTCAAAATTGCTTTTGGTCTCTAAATATGAAAACGTCATATTAAAGCGAATACCCGAAAATCCATTGAACTTCCATTATGCCGTGTGTATTTTTAATTATGCGAACAAAGAAAGGAGAAAGAAAAACCCGAACAAGATGTCGCGGCAGCGTAACTTTCGACATTCAATTCGTGCACCGAGAGTATGAAAATGGCTTTGACGTTTTACAAATGGCACAGAATGAATGAGCGGGAGTAGTCGCCGATGTTCTTTTTTATAAAATTAAGTCACCTGTATTCTGTCCTTCTGTCTGGAGGAAGAGAGAAAAAAACATTTTTTCTCACGACCCTTTTCACAGTTCTGTATAAGAATTAACAAAGCGACTGTTGAATTATCAAAGCGTCTCCTCCACCAATGATCCGAGAAAGAGACAGAAAAAGAGAAAAACAGGACAAAGAGCGTGAATGAGCGTGTAAACACGATGAGAAAGAGAGAAAGGAAGGATGGTATACACTGTGTGCGTGCGAGAATGAATGAGAGGGAAGAAAAAGAATTTATTGGGTGATGAATTATGCGAGCCGAAGATGCATTCCGAAAAATAACTAGGGTAAAAAATTTAAAAAGAAGAAAAGAATTAGTCTCTCGCTACGAAGCTAGAATTATATTCCGCTGTCGCTATAGAACGAAAATGATTCGTCGCTATTAACTAATTGACGCGAGAAGGAGACGCGAAGAGGAGATAATCGGCTAACTAAATAGTAATAATAGTAATAAATAAAATAACGCATATGGTAATCAGGCTGGACAAGAATATTATGAATACTAATTATTCCATTGAAGATAAAGCAAATAAATTAAAAGCAGGTCAGAGTGCCGGCACCACTCTCGAGCATCCCCCGTCCTTTCTGGCCCCTCTCTGGATTGTCACGATTGATCCTTCCTTACTCGATTCTTGCACACGATCGTCTCACACTATCGAACTGAAATAGCAATAAATTGCTAAAAATTAATCGTATCGAGATCATGTAAAAATAAACAGATGCGTATCGAGATCATGTAAAAATAACAGATGCGTTGTATTACGGACATAAGATCGATACGCGAAAGGTAGGATCAATCGTAATGGATCCTTGCGCATTTAAAAAAAAAGGGATAAGAGTTTTATGGCGTGAAAGATGCTCGTACGCCGCCCGTGTAAAAAAGAAAAGTAACACAAAAGGAGGACATATTAAAATAAGAAGTTGATGAAGATGAGAAATAAAAAGCAAGTGCGAGCGCTCGTAGATCGAGACGATCGCTTTCAAGTGATATATTTAGGTATTATATGGGTTTATGGTATTAAAGAAGACGCAGAAAATAATATAGTGTAAGAAACTAAAGCGAATGTTTGTTATCACTCGGATAACGTTTTCGACGATTGATTTATGCCGCGACGAGTATTATGTGTAAATGCATGTAGATATATCATATACAGGGTGAATCGTAAAGCGCGGAAATCAGTAGCAAAATTATATTCTTCGATGAATGTGCGTGCAGAGTTGAATTTATTTGGAGATTTTTGAAATCTCCGCTATTTTTATCACAGCTTTTATAATATTTAAATAACATGCTGAGCGTTGAATTTTTTTCGCTTTTAAAATTTATTTATTAATATACAATTATCTTTCAATTATCTGACTATTCTCTATATAATCCAGATTTTCGTATCAATTCTCTTCGAGAAAGTCGTTTCCGAATTCATCGTGGAATAAGTGCCTGCTACCGGCTCTCAAATTTAACGGAATACCCTATATATCATGTACATGTGTGATATAAAAAAAAATATATATATATATATACATATATATATACTGAGATATGTATATGTAACTGATGCCAGGAGAAAACACGGGGCAGATAAATCGCAGGGAAAAAGAAAACACATCGCGCTCGACACTCTGTGAAGGGAAGAGAAGTAAAATTTGTTTGCAAAGAGTAGAAAGTACTAATGTTATTATGTATACATATACATACGCAACATATACATGCATACACACAATGACGTACACGACACACAAGGGTGACTTGCGAAATAAGCTATTTAGTAGGCTAAATCTCTAAAGAAACAAAAAAAAAGAACATGAAGAATTTGTAACGCGAGGGCTGCATACATGGTGGCGGCCATCCCTGCCATTCTAGTTGATCAGAATCCGTTTTGTGAATTAATTAAATCAATTAATTATTGATCAAGGACTCGTTTATATAGTGTTGAGCACTGTTTTAAGTGCTTTTCATTTTTTGGCTGTGTGAAGCTTAAACTAACGTAATTTAATGAGGAAAGGACACATAATTATCGTATCAACTTCATATAATCATTTTCAAAACTTTTCCGAAAAGCGGGAAGAGATAAATGAAAAACGCACGAAAATTGGAGTAAGTCAGAAAGAGGGGAAGAGAGATAGAGAGAGTATGTGTGTGTGTGTGTGCGTGTTTGCGTGCGTGCTTTAAGATGTGTCGAGATTGCTATCATGAAATGGAAGAGATGGGAAAGAAGGTAAGAAAGAACAGGAAAATCGGCAACAAACATTCACGTCAACAGTTATTAATAAACCAATTATTAAGTAACATTAAGTAATAATTAAAAATAGTAATAACGAGTAATGAGTAATAAAAAACCAATAAGAATATGTTAATAATAATCGATAAGTGTGTGTGTGTTACGAACGCGCGCCACGTTTCCTTCGCGATACGTTTTAATGTATATTATTATAAATGATTCCGTGTATCTCCGTTTGTACGCATTTTAACAAAGAAGAGAAAGAAAGAGGGAGGAACAATGAGAAATAATAAGCTAATTACTACAGAATACATTTAGTGGTGTATGAATATACCAGAGAAAAAAAAGGATACTACACATACTCTTAACGGTACTAGCTCAGAAATATCCTGCCGAGTTGCCCCGATTTACGCTAAGAACCACCTGGCACGTTTTCACGAACAAACAAGAAATTTATTAAGTTTATAAGCGCTAAGAGAAGTTAAGTCCATCGCCTTATTCAGAATTAAATAAAAACTATGAAAATAAACGAAAGAAAGAGAAAGGAAATTTAAAAAGGAGGAAAAGACAATAGAGAAAAGTAGCGAAAAGGGGAAAAGGAAAAGTAAGGAAAAAACAAGGAAAATTAAAGGAGAAAAGAATGTGGAGGAAACATTAAAAAAAATATATAAGCGATAGAAGAGAGCTGGGCATAAAGTGAAAAAAGACATGTGGAACACATATAATCTATTTTTCGCTTACGTCACACGCATACACACACAAAAACACACACACACACACACACACACACGATGATCCTATGGAATAATTATTATGATTAAAAAGAAAAAAACAAAGAAGAACTGCTAATTTTTCTAACAAGCCCGCGGATGTCGCCGGAAAACGACTGATGTCCTACGTTTTCCTGCGGCAATGTTTTGTAAAGCCACTATTTCTATATTGCGCAACGAGTTGCTGCGTTCCATTAAATAAAAGATGGAGGAGAAAAAAATTCAGCATAATTATTTACCGATTTCAGCGAAGCTGCGCAATTAGAGGACAAAAAGGGAGATATAAAATGGCTGTAATGCACGACTCGATAATGAATTTGTATACTTAAAAGGAGATCTGCGATACAGAAAATTTTATAATTCTTTAGATAATTCGATAAATTTTTTTAGAATCCGTTGAAGAAGTTCGAATAAATTTTTAAATTCGCAAATTTTTATTTCTTTGCACAAATTCTTAGCATTGCAGATCTTTGGTGTCTCGATCTTTTGATGTGTATAATCTAAATGTTCCATTTACTATTAATTACTATTAATTCTGAATTTTTACTTCTTTCTCATATTCGCCCGTATTCATTATCGCGACTCGTGTATTTTCTGCGGTAGATTGAGAACTGACGGAGATCAAGTTCCGTTAGCCGGGTACCAAGGCACTCAGGGCAACGATTAATATCGATCTTATTTATACGATGATCTAAGCTATTTTTGTTGTACGTTTATTACACTGAAAGAGATATTTATTACACGCTACGCGAAAATTTACGCGCAATATATTCAATGCATCCGTAGCTATTAAATGAAATAAACGCAAATGAAAAGCTCTCCTGATTATTAATAATTAACTCTTCGAAAATAATCGCGCAGTTCGTAACGGATGAAGCTTCATACCTCATATCGTTATGCCACGCTCGGAACTTTCGTAATTTAGCAAGATAGATAATTTGTACGATGCATTTTCTATGTTTTTCTTTCTTTTTCCATTCTTTTTTATTTTCAAGTTTTAAACATGTAATGTGATTTTTTTCGCGTTTTACATAAAGTGCACAAATAATTGAGAGAGAAGCTA